ATTTGAAATAGGGCATAAAAGATATATGTAGTGATGAATAAAAATGTTAATACAATAATGTTTATTGTTGGAATAATAATTACAAATTAATAATATTACAAATTTCATATGAGTGGCATGTCTTTTCAATTGTTGAAAACGTGAAGTTTTTCATAACGTTGATTAGATTTAATCTATTATTGATAAAAACTTACTAGACGACCTGCTTTAAGAATTCTTGAATCAAGTTATAATGTGCACCTAGAAGTTAGAAACAAGTTGTAGTTGATCAGATTAGAACTTTAAGAAAACTAAAACATTAAAAAATTCAATTTTGAAGATGTCACAAATGTTGATTATTCCCTTGATAAGTCAATATATTGTATTTTACCAATAACACAAGAATATAAAGCAAAGTTTGCTGAAAATACCACAAAAAATGTATTTTACATAGTTGCAACCTTTATATAGGCATGTAAACATCATTATCTTATAAATAAATTCATAATCTTATAATGAAACTCATAACTAATGATTATCTTATCAGGAAACACATAACTGATGATGATTCCTTTAATTTCGGAAAACAAATCTATTTTGAAATAGGAATTGTTTTAAAAAACTACAACTAATGACAACTAAGCATAGAAAAGTCAAAGTAAAACAAAACAAGACAAAATGTTGATTAGAAATTGAATAGAAATTATAAGACGGATGTAATATTTAATAAAACAAGTTTGTTCCTCAAGCCCATAAATACATCTTAGCATGCGAATTGGGCATTTTCTTATCATGTCCATGCGCCAAGCCCATCAATACATCTTATGTCATGGATTCTAAGTTTGTTCTTCAAGATCCAAGCCTTGTTCATCGTCTTGCACATAAAAATAGGTGATTATAATTGGTGAAGGTTTGGGAACTTATAGAAAAGTCTTAGAATTTTCTAGAAACAACCTCTTTGTCACGCAATTCTATGATTAAGCCTTATAAAGCCTCTTTCATCCTCTTTGTTCTTACCCTACTCATTGACCTTGCAAAGGATCTTGAGATTATTTGAGAATATTAGTTTGAGCCATTTGGATAGCACATCGATCTCCATTAATTATCATTTAAAAAATATATAATGTGACATGTCATATATTGTGTAGAAGACCTTTCTAATTTTTGAGATCCTTTTAACATGAAAACTTAAACTTTCAAAACTACAGACATTTTGAGAGTATGAATTGATTTTAAAGTAGAAATTATAAGACAGATGTAATATTTAATAAATAATTTTTTGACTTAATAAGATTTACTTATTTGGCATTATTAATGTAACGTTTTAAGTGTTACCAATTTTATGTAAGTTTTAGCCATTTTGCCTAATAAAATTTGAACTTGTTCAAAAGGTTGATTAGAAGTTGAGTGGTTGTCATTTGAATTATTCTAACATATTTCTATACCTATCGAAAATTAGCATTTTATTATTATTATAAAGTTAATAATTATATTAATTTTTTTTTTATGAATAAAGAGTTACTATATTTGTCTACTAATTACTGGTTAATTAATTTTTTTTGCATAAATTTATCATTTTTGTAATAACAAATTATCTTTATCACTTGTTAATGTAGTATACCAATGTCTTCTCTTTGAGTGCATTTATAACTAATTTTCATTTACAAACATGATGGATTTATTATGAGAAAATAATAATGTCTTAATTTTTTCAATGCTTTATAAGTATAAAATTAAAAATTAACTCATATTTGATGATACACTTCTCGTTCTTGATTGTTTTGTTATTAATTCTTTTTTCTATTTGCTTATTTCTATCTTAATTATATTTCCCTTTTTTTTCCACACTTAAATTTACATAATATTTGCATTGTGTTCATGATTATTTGTTGTTTTTTCATATAATATTTAAAGATTTATATAAATTGTTATAAAAAAGCAATAATCTTAAGAGTAAATCTCTTAAACTATCCCTATTGTTCACGAAATTGACACGCGGTACCCTTAAGTTTTTTGACAATTGTCCACATCCTCCCTTGCCGTTACTCGACCGTCGGGTCTCGGATGGATGTGACCTCACGTGATTGATAATTTTGTCCATAATTTCTAAAGCTACATTTATATTCAAAAATACTCTTTTAGTTTTAGTTTGGGCTAGTTGGCTCTGTCAGCACTAAACCAATAAGACTGTTACTTGTCACCAGCATTGGAACTGCGGTGTAGGGCTTACCGATGTCCTATTGCTAGTCACCAGCATTGGACCGTTGTTTGTCAACGTCAGCACCGTCGGTGTAGTGGACAATTATTTAAAGTAGGGCTTGTCACCGATGTCCTCTTACAGAATGGCAACAGTGCTGTTTTTACTTGTAGTGTTGGTGCCATTGTTAGTGACCCAAGGAGGGTTTTGGAACCGGCGGTGTTTCGGAACTGTGATGTGGGGGAGGATAACGACGGTGACTAATGGCACTACGGTGTGGGGGAGAAGAGAGGAGAATGGCGATGGGATTTCGAATAGATGTAGTCATTGACTAGCATCTGTTCGACGAAATGCCCAACCCCCCACCCCATAGGCCCAACCCCCTATCTCGCACGCCCAGCACCCCCATGTCGCACACCCAAC